TGAATAAAAAAACAGCATTAATTTTAAATAGAATTTTCTGTAACATTATAAACAGTGTTGGGGGTAACGCATTACAGTAAGTTACGAAATCAGATAACTTTTTGTAAGTAACTAGTAAAGTAATGCATTTTTAATTTAGAAGGAAATATCTGAGTTACGTTTTCAAATAAGTAATTGCATTTACTTTCGCATTACTTTCCATAAAAAGTAACTAAGTAACGTAATTAATTACTTTTTTAGGGAGTAACACAATATTGTAATGCATTACTTTTAAAAGTAACTTTCCCCAACACTGATTATAAATGCATATAAAGTAAAGACATTTATTATGTTAAAGCATCATGTGCTAATATCCTTGCTGAATAAAAGTATTAATAAAAATAAAATAAAAAACGTACTCAAATTCTGAAGGGTAGTGTATGTATATGTAATATACTGTATTACACATATTTGAATTACATCAGCCATCAAATATGAATTTTAATATCAAGAAGTGCCTGTCTGAAAAAAACGAACTGGTATGATGGAGAGTTGTTTTACCTTAATGATCTGTAGCTGTACCCCCTCATCAGTCTGGGGTCCCTGGAAGCAGTTACAGATGGTCTCCACCAGCCGGTCAATTAGCCGTTTTCCTGGAGCTCCGCTGTCAGGGGCGTTCCCTGTGATGTGCCCATACGCAATAAGTTTCTGTGATGAATAAAAGAAATGTCAGAGAGAAAATGTTTGAGTGGAATGATTAAATTAATGGAAATATTAAAACTATTGAACTGCTATTTACATAAGTAGAATGAACTAGACCAAATTTTTCAAGTAATGAAATCCAGCATCCATGATCACTGTCTGAACAAACAGAAACAGATCCAGTTGTTCATACAGTGTAGTCAATATCTGAAATATCTACATGACTTTCTGTAGTAATAATGGGACGTTTGCCAAAGATGTCCTTCTGCAATGACTGAAAGTAGCGTGAGACAACATACGCAATGGAGGTATTACAGTGTAACACACATTAATTCATACAGTGTTTAAATTCATTCAATATTCATAACTATCAGGTTGCATAAGCTTCATGATCTTAGGGATTTCACAATCAGTTTTCCTGTGCAGACTATAAACAAATAAATTTGAGTCACATGTAAAAAAACTCCTTTTTACAAGAATTAAAAACTAAACTGAAAAACTAAACTGGTGTTTTAAATGCATTAATATTGAGTATGATGAAGCACTGCATTAGAGTGAGGTGAATGAGAACTCCTGTACTGAGAACTCCGTACCTGTAAGCAGTCGAGAGACGTACTGACAATACGTGGAGACTTGGACTGACATGCCAGCTCGAAAGGCAGGACGTACTTGTCAGCCTCAATGTAATTGGCTCTGGGAGGAACAACAGTGCCATCCCTGGAACACACAAAATTCACAGCACAGGTCAGTAAGTGGGAATAACCATGCAGCATTGAAACATACTTCATTCACCGAATATTACACAGCAACAAACATTCAGAACATCATGTCAGTAGCCCTTAAAGGGGTCATATGATGCTGCTAAAAAGAACATTATTTTGTGTATTTGGTGCAATGAAATGTGTTTATGCGGTTTAAGGTTCAAAAAACACATTTTCCACATACTGTACATTATTTTTTCTCCTCTATGCCCCGCCTTTCTGAAACACGTAGATTTTTACAAAGCTCATCGGTCTGAAAAGCGAGGTGTGCTGTGATTGGCCAGCTATCCAGTGCGTTGTGATTGGCCGAATACCTCAAGCGTGTGACAGAAATGTTACGCCCCTTACCATACTGTGATGCCCTGTCTGGCCGGAGCGTACCATAAAACCATGTCTGCATTTGTGATCGGAGAAATGAAAAACAACAAGCGCTACTCTACACTGCCCATAAAACTCGCGTTTGAATCGTCAGTGGCAAATTCTTTAAATATAAAAAACGTACTTACAGTCTATGAGTCAGAACAGCCGGCATTGTAGTCTACTCTCCCAGGATCAGGAAACAGTCCTCCATAAAATGCGCTGGGCACATCTGAATATTTGGGTTAAACTGTTCTGGAACTAGGGATGCGCCGATCCGATATTCGTATCGGGTATCGACTCCGATAGTGCCATTTTTCTCGGATCAGGTATCGTTCAGAGAGGGCCGATCCAAATCCGAGAATTTAAAAAAAAAATTTCGATTGTGCGAATTATTCTGTGTTACTTCTGAAGCCATACGATAGCTTAATGTGAGCTACATATGAATATTTAAGTCCTTACGTTAAAGTTCTCACAAACTCTTTTCTCCGCTGTGGCTGTCAGTCATTCGTTCAGCCTTTAAACCCTGGTCGCATTCGGTTACGACAGTCAGTTCGGAGTTCCCATTATAATCCAAGATCATTCCGTGTTCCCATTATAATTGATTTGTAAATACATGTCTATGATTTTGCAAAAAGGACTTTATCTTCTTGCCAGAGTTTAATGTTGTTTTGTTACTTGCTACCGGGTGTCTGTGAGAACAAAACACGGGCGTAGAAAATACTATAAATAGTTTTTAACGTGCACAGTAACTGAAATTTAAAACTGTTAAAAGAAAGGCTCAATAACTGTTGCACAGATATAATACACTACTCATCAATTTCTCTTCCCTTTGTGCTTTGCGGTTTTTAACACGAAGCGCTTACAATGTGCGCATGCGGCGTGCAGAATGATGCGCTTGAAGCAACACGGCGTCAGGCTGTGAGACCATGTTGCTTCAAGCGCATCATTCTGCACACCGGATGCGCACATTGTAAACGCTTGGTGCTCATAGACTGTATAAAAACTATGTTTTGTCCTATCGTATCTATCACATGTTGTTGTTGCCTTATTAAAAAATATGCTATGCATTCAAAATAAATGTATTTTAATTTTATAGTACATACTTAAACATATATATGAATGTTTTTAATGAATGGATTTTGTAATAATACAAATAGCAATGTGTAACATTTTACCATATTTAGTGCAACACTTTTATTTGTTCCCCACAAAATATCACTGGTATCGGATCGGTATCTGTATTGGCCAATACCGAACCCTAGGTATCGGAATCGGTATCGGAGGCGAAAAAGGTTGAGTGAGTGGAGGCCGGAGGCCTAGAGCGAGCCACGGCCTAGAGTATGCGGAGGCCGGCTTGAGTGAGCAGAGGCGGGTGGGCTTGAGAACGGCGTGGCCGGCGGATTCCACGAAGGCGGCAACAACAATACTACAGCGAGATGATAAAAATCCATTTTACCCTCAAAAAACCTAAATAGTCTCAATTATCAAGCCGTTTGGAGCCGTCCGCCAAGTTGTATGCCATTTTCTCTGTGCTCAAGCAGCTGTAGCGACAACAATGTCTTGTAAGCAATGCAGGTGTTTTGTAGTTGGATGTAAAATTGAACATAAGTCTTAATTTTCTCCCAACATCAGAGCCACTGAGGATGCAGTGGATTAGTTTTGTTTTTGATGGTAAACGTGCCATCGAATACACACAAAAAAAAATGGCAGAGGGGCGGGGTGAGCAGTAGCTCATTAGCATTTAACGGGACATGCATCAAAACGGATCGGGAGCTGTTTTTGACAAGGTAAAAAGTGTTTTTTTACACGGCCATTGTGGAATTTTAACCGAAGTATATTTCATGAAAACCCTAAAGAATCATACCAATTTGTGGAAAATGGGCATCCGATGTCCCCTTTAATGTTACATCAATGTAGATCACAGGAAACATTTGCATGGGTGGTGCATGTTGGTAAATGAGATGTAAACTTACTTCTGCTTTTCCAGTTCATGCTTGATTTCATCTAAAAAAAAAAGAAGAAAAAAAAAAAAAAGAGAAATTAACATCAACTCATGTCTATTTTTCACATCTCTCTCAAAGCGGAGTGAGTGCTAATTCAGAAAACTACTACAACAGTGTCTTGGCATTTACATTAGTGTATTGGAGTATTAGGCTGTCTGGACTCTAGGTTTTCAGATTATGCATTCAGTTGGACATCAAAGTGAACCGGGCGATGGGGAGGAAATTACATCTACAGCGCAGCAGCAGGAATACGTACCCTAATACTGCCAAAGCAAAAAATGTGCACACTATCCCTAATAAAAAACACTGACTACTCAGCAAGATACAGCAGTGATCCAGTACTGGTTGTGCTTGGTAGTAATGAGACTATTTGTTGGAAAAGTGTCTATTAGTGCTGTCAAACAATTAATCGCGATTAATCGTATCCAAAATAAATTGCTGTGCAATTAATCGCATGTGATTGTCATGCGCATCTCGTCATTAAAGCCGATATAAAGCACAATTAGGCAATATCGCATTCATAATTGAATGCGATTCATCTGCGATTATGAACTCGATATTGCCTAGCTTGTCAGTGAACTACGGCTCTGTGTAGTAAATGCCGCTCCATCTGAAAGCAGATGATGGCGATTTACTACCAATCACGGAACCGGCTTTACTGACGAGATGCGCATGACAATCACATGCGATTAATTGCACAGCCCTAGTACACATTCATATATTATGTAATCGGACAGATCTAGTTCTCGAGTTCAGCTCACTGATTCAGTGATCAATGCAGTTAACAGCTCACTGAAGGGGAAAATTATCAGTGCATAACAGTTTAGATTTCATTCTCACACAAAACTATTTTTACCACTTTCGAATAACTGGAAAACCACAAGCAATTACATTCTTCAAAAATTACAACATAATTCTGTCTTTCACAGAAGAAAGGAAGTCACATAGAACAAATATATAAATTATACTTTTACTATGAACTATTACTTTAAAATAAATAAACAAGGTTACTGGGATGAGCAAGTTGCTTAAAGTGTCATATTAATATGGTTTTCCGTGCCTCTGATATTCAAGAACAATCTACAAATTAATCCTTATTCATTTAGACTTAGCCATCTACTCACAAGAAGGTACAGGAAACTGATGTTAAGCAACAACACATTTCATAAGATGTGCATTTTATGAACTATGTTTTTAATCTGGCAACCTGTAATACTCAAAAGTGTTACATGTATCCAAGCAGCACAGCAAACTAAGCCATTGCCTAGCAGTGTATCCGGGTGGCTAGTGTAAATAGGTCTGTATGTTAATCAGCCTCATTCACTCACATGACAGGGTAATGAGGGAGTGTCTGTTTGAATGACATCCTTCTGAGAGCATTCAAACAAAACCCACTAGGAAGTTGCATTACATTAACAGCCAAATGGCTGAACAACACTATAGACTTTCAGGATCAAACTTCAAACATACCAAAAGACAAAACAACAGAAGTTTACAATAAAATACATGGAGGTTTTTTGTTCAGATTGAACTATTTTTAGATTGACACTTCAGAACAAAGGTTAGAGTTCGGAAAAGCTCACGTAAGAAACTAGATCCTCCAGTCTCCACATGTGCTCATCAACTTTGTAAATAAGTAATGCAGCGCAGGCGGGACGAATCAAATGAGTCTAACCTGCATATCCAGCTTACACATAAAAAAAGGGATGGATATTCCGGGAAGTTATTGAATAAAAATGGGAACACAGAGTGAGCAGCTAATGCTAATCACATATGTCACTAGAAAAATCATCAAATTAAAAGGATAGTTCTTAAAAACTCTGTCTTCATTTGCTCACCCCCTTTTTATGTCCATACAATGGAAGTCAATGATGACCAAAACAATTTGGCTACCAACATTCTTCATCTTTTTGTACAACAGAACAAAATGACATGTTTGGAATGACACAAGTGATAAAATTATCACAGAATTTTAATTTCTGGATCAACGTTTAATAACAGCAGTAAAATAGGCCCGATGCCAGAGACAGAAAGCCTCAAGTCACCATTTAATGCCATTGAAAGATGCAATAAAAAGGAATGGTGACTGATCAAGCCAACTCTTCTAGTGTGAGTAAATTAAACAATTTTAATTTTTAGAGTGAACTGTTCCTTAGATGTTACTCAAAACACAGATCGATTCTGTAAATCAGTGAGTGATCTTTAATCACTAAGGGAGCAGTACATCACCAATCTCTCAAAGTCGATATAACAGCAACAAAATCTGCAGCTTGTCGGATAGCAGCTGATTCCAGCTAACACATGCTAACAGCTCGGGATAACCACAACAAGAGGTGCTGGTCACCAAGACATGTCATTTACTCAGCCGCCAACATCTCATTCATAATACTGTAACATTATATAGCATGACAATGCCAACTTAAGGCAAAATGAAACAACGGAGTCTTGACACACAGACGCGTGCAGGCTTATACGTTACGTTAATTTAGGATATCAGGGGCAGAGGAGGACCTCAGTGGTGTGTTTGAGGCCTGACGGGTAATGAAGAAAAGAAGCTCACCCAGCGCCACTTGACAGGCCTTGCGCAGCTGGCTGTGTTGGCTCCGCTTCACCTCCTTATCCGCGAGGATTTTCTCCAGCGCCCGAGACAGAAACATGCTCTTGGTGCTCAGGCTTTCTGTCTGCGTACGCCGTCGATGGGTTTCCAGCTCTTCCTGCTCTTTCATCTCTCGGTCGACGTGTTAAAGTAGTCCGTCAGGCCGTCATCTCTGGCCCGTTCCCTGCGGTTTGGCAGGGGTGTGAGGGTGCCAGGAGCGGGCCGAGGTTGTCGCTGGTTCGGTTGGACGCTGCTATCTCAGCACTGCGTCGCCATGTTGGCCGCACGTCACATCACATCACGTGACCCGCGGGCGCTGATGTGTACATTCAGCGCGCGAGCTCGGTTTGGCTGAGGTGGAAATGAATGGGGCATGTGTTTAGTGGACAGTTCGGTCTCAGGTAGAAAAAAACATATGCTGGCATGCAGTTTTAAGACATTTTAAACCGTGTGATCACCAGTATTTCATTTATTTAAGTCATGGTGAAAAAACTAAAAGCTTCAAACAAACATATATATTATGTTTACTGCATTATTATTAAGTCATCATGTGGCCTTCCTTGTATCAACTGTGTTTTTA